TTAAGTTAAACTTGTATTTTTTTCTACCTGGATTACTGAGATGCATTGCCTAAAATACACAATGACTTTGATCTTTTGCTGCTTTAATGGGCCTGTACCTAAGATTTTGTCACTTCAGCCTCTTGGTTTAGTAGATTTGCAATAAGTGCTTTGATTGGATAAAAAAAAGCCTGTCTGTGATTGGCTGCTGATGTGGCTCATTTACATATAACTTTTGGGTTGAGAGTGCAGAGACAGCTGCGAGCGAGCAGACATAAAGTTGAGAGGAGGGAGGGAGTCGAGCACAAGCAAGAAGAGAGTTGAGCAAGCAGGGAGGGAGCTGTGTGAGCGTGTGTGTGATTTGTGTGCACACGGTTCAAATTATTGTTTGTTCATATTGATATCTGCTCTCAAATCAGTGTTACTGTGCGCACAAGCCGAGTGTCACACCATATTTGTGAATCATTCTGCAGTGACTGTAACGTTTTTTTTGTTTGTTTTTCACAAGTTAAACTACGGAACAATAGTAGCTACCACCAGCAAGCTAACAAGCTAACATTAACTTATCATCCTGCCCGCTCTTCTGAAGCGTCATACTGCTGGATGGTCCGGTTTAATATTCTATACCTTTCTTTCAAGTTTGGTGTAGTCCATTATTGTTTTGTCGGAATTGAAACAAAATAAGATTGTTTGATGATCCCACCCACATCGAGGTGTCTCTCTGCTCGATGCAAACACAACCCGGACCGGAGTAGAGTAAGGCCGGGCCATCTCGAGCTGAGGAGGGCTTTACGAAGCAAAAACGCTTTGTGGGATAAAGTTTGTCCTGGGCCTTGTGTTGAGAAGGAGCGGACGAAGCTACAGGCAGAACGAAATGATGCCGACCTGTTTTCATCATGGAACTACGTCAAAGAGAGATTATTTCTTCACTTTGGGTGGAGAATAAAGCAGCCTTCCTTCTGCTTCAAACACTGGAAAAATGTTAACAAGAGAAAATTTTATTTAGGTTCTGATATTTAATTCTGTTAACTCAGTTGAAACTTTTTTTTTTCTAGACAACAAACTGGAGATTGAATTAGAGCTTTTTAATGGCTAATGTCAGTGCTGAACAACTGAACAACATGTTTGGCCACAGTTTAAAATTCACTAAACAATTTTGAAGAGGAAAAAACGACTGAATGATTTAACCTCATGACTCGATGCAGATCTGTACACATATTTCTCATCTAATTGATTCAGGAAAGGAACAATAAAGGGATGCATATCATCCTCCGCCCATCATAAGTGTTAAACTCAGATCATCCTAGGATCTTATGACCATGTATCGTATTTATACAGTGGTTTGCAAAAGTATTCATACCCCTTGAACTTTTCCATATTTTGTCACATTACAACCACAAACATAAATATATTTCACTGGAATTT